TGTGTGTAAAGATAATAAGTTAACATTGTTTATCTGAGGAGCAGACTGCTTTGAATTTAACTTCATAACAGAACTCTCATCTTGAGCAAGCATGAAGGCGACAGTGGAAAGGAAAAACTCCCTCATAATGAAGGAACCTTTAGCAGAACCAGGCTCAGGACAAGTGGCCGTCTGCTTCGACTGGCTGTATGAAAGGAACAGAAAGGAGGAACAGATACACAATGGCAGGTTGAGAATCACATGTTAACAGAAATATAATAAAATGAAAACTATTCAATTTTAACAATATTTTAAGCACATTTTAAGAATGGTGGTCAATTGGTCATCCAGTACTCTAAGTCTATGGCAGTATAACAAGCCAACCCTAACTATTAGGACTTATCAAAAAGGAAAGTCTTGGTCCAATCTTAAAACTGGACCATGTGTCAGCCTCATGGAGAGAAACTGGAAGTTGGTTCCACAAGAGAGGAGCCTGAAACTGAAAGATCTTCCTCCCGTTCTGCTTTTGGAAATTCTAGGAATTAAAGGTAAGCCTGCAGTCTGAGAACAAAGTGCTCTGTTAGGAAAATATGGAACAATAAAATCTGTAATAGAAGATGGAGCTAGGCTGTTGAAGACTTTGTAGGTTAGAAGTAAGATTTTGAATTCAGTTCTGAATTTGACAGGGAGTCAATGGAGAGAAGCTAAAACTGGAGAGATCATATAGCTCCAGTGATGCAAACAAACAGCAAACAAATGTTGATGTATGATAATTTGCAGAATTAAAAACAAATTAAATAGAGCACCTGGGATCAGATTCAGTAAATCATGAAAGAGCAATTAGTAAAAAAATAAAATTTAAATAAAAAGTTGTCTAAGGAAACTCACAGGTTGACTCAACTCCCCCAGATAAGGTATTTTTTTATGATCTGTAACAAAACTTAAGGTATATTTACTGGGAATACTAAAGGATGAAAATGATTTATAAATGGGAGATTGGACTGTGTATCAAAATGTTCTAGCTCTGTGACTGAAATGAATTTTTTGGAAAACACACAAAATAAACTCTGGACACTTTGTAACTTTCTGTATCCTGTATCTCATTGGTGTAGCATCCTGCAAGTCAATATCCAGTGCGTAGTGCTTTCTGTACACTTTCTGTACACTATCACAAACGCAGTGTACCCTGCTTACACTTAACACAAATCAATATGAGTGTACAGACCCTGCAGGGCAACGAGACAGTTTTCTACACCATCACATATATACTCTATATGCTGACTGAGAATCAAAATCACACCCCATTAACCTTCAAAATGTCACTATTGGTCTTGCTGGTGTTTCAGCAAAATAAATGGAAAGCATCATTTCACTTCTATTCCTCTTTAACTGAAAACACTCTGCCTGAAGAGGTTTTTTTTTTTTCAACAAATAAAATAGGTAAAGGTTCACAACAACTTTAAGAAAAGACAAAAGTAACAGCAACTGAGATGAACACAATAAAACATTAATATCTTCACAATTTTTAAAACGTTTCAAACTTGGTATTCAATGAGCAAGGGAAAAGTGAAAGATCTGAATGTGTGATAAAGAGGAAATGAAAGAAGCAAATATGTTTTAGGATCAATTTAGGAAGTGCAGCTACATTCTGTTCAATACTTTGTGTTTTAACAAAGTCCTGCCTATTAGTCACAGTCACACTAACTACAGTGATGTTGCACAACATCATGTTATGTTCTATTAATGATACTGATATCCTCTGGGGCATATCAGGATATAAACTTTGTAAAATCTTAATGTTTAGTGTATTAGCAAGAAAATGCTGAACAACAGTCAAAATTATCGCAGAACTGCAAAAATAAAAACAAATAATATATTGTTTATCAGGGCAGCACGGTGGCGCAACTGGTAGAGCTGCTGCCTCTCAGTGAGCAGGTCCTTGGTTCAAACCCCGGTCCAGGGGCCTTTCTGGGTGGAGTTTGCATGTTCTCTCCGTGCATGCGTGGGTTTTCTCCGGGTGCTCCGGTTTCCTCCCACAGTCCAAAAACATGCATGTTAGGCTGATTGGTAACTCTAAATTGTCCCTAGGTGTGAGTGGGAGAGTGAATGGTTGTTTGTCTCGTTTGTCTCTATGTGGCCCTGTGATGGACTTGCGACCCGTCCAGGGTGTACCCTGCCCCTGGCACAGTGATTGCTGGACATGGGCACCAGCGACCCCCGTGACCCAAAAATGGAATAAACGGGTAAAGATAATGGATGGATGGATATTGTTTATCAAAAAGAAAGCTGCTGTACCACTGAAAGATCACAAAATAACCTAGTACGATTTGGCTCATATATGTCAATTTGTAGGAAAATAGAAAAACTGTCCCATCGTATCCCAGCTGTGAAAGCTGCTAGCTGTGGTTTTATGATTTGGGCCTGTTGTAAAATATTTGAGCTTGGACAATGTATTGTAAATCAAGAAAAATATCTTTGAATTTGGCATGCTACAGCAAGTTTTGGCATGCAAGGCGATGGACATGCTCCCTCATAGCCTGTGTTTTGTATAAAAAATAAAAA